GGGCAGCTGGCCAGCAGCCGGGCCCCGGGAGCACCACGGGTCAGAGAGGAGATGATCAGATCCAAAGCGAGTCCTGATAGAATAATCCACACTTTGCCTCAGTTTCACCAAAATCCCTGCACGCTTCCCACGACGTCTGCGACGTTTCCTCCATGGAGAAAGGCCAGGGTCACGCTGAAGGAACGCAGGAATCTCAGATAGGACCGGTGGGGGAGAGTGCTGACCGCTGTTCAAAAACTCCGCGGGAATTTCAGCAAATGTACGGAGCTCCAAAAGTGCCCGACGATCATACTGAAAATATGACTCGGCACACTGCACAAACCATTGTAAAAATAACAAAAATAAAATACAAGCAGAGAGCGAGAGACGGGCAGCCCTACACACCGGCGCCATCTTGGAGTGAAAATCTGAGGTACTCTAGGTTTTTGTGGTCCATCCACACTTGGAACGGGAACCTGGAGCCCTCCAGCCAGTGACGCCACTCCTCCAGGGCGAGTTTAACAGCAAGAAGCTCCCGATCTCCAACATCATAGTTGCGCTCAGCCGAGGAGAGACTCCGGGAAAAAAAAGCGCAAGGATGAAGACGTCCCTCCTGGCCACACTGACTCAGAACAGCCTCCACCCCAGTGCTGGTAGCATCAACCTCAACCATAAAAGGTGCATCGGGGTTGGGGGCCTGGAGAATGGGAGTAGAAACAAACAAGGATTTAAGGTCATTAAAGGCAGTGTCTGTTGCGTTGGACCACTGGAAACGAATCTTGGTGGAGGTGAGATTGTGAAGGGGCTTAGCCTTCTGGCTATAGCCTTTGATAAAACGTCTGTAAAAATTGGCAAACCCCAAGAACCGCTGAAGCCGTTTGCGGTTCTTTGGGGTGGGCCAATCCACCACAGCTGAAACCTTATTAGAGTCCATCTCCATTTTGTTGGGAGAAACAATAAAACCGAGAAACGACGTGGTTGACATGTGAAACTCACATTTCTTGGCCTTGACAAAGAGGCCATTTTGAAGGAGTCTAGTGAGTACAGATCTCACTTGCTTGCGGTGAGAATCTAAGTCTTTAGAAAAAATAAGAATGTCATCTAAGTAAACAAATACAAATTTGTTTATCACGTCTCTCAATACATCATTAACAAGTGTTTGGAAAACAGCTGGTGCGTTGGTCAAACCAAAGGGCATGACCAAGTACTCGTAGTGACCAGAGGGGGTGTTAAAGGTGGTCTTCCACTCATCACCCTCACGGATACGGACCAGGTGATAAGCGTTACGAAGGTCTAACTTAGTGGAAATGTTGCCTCCTTGCAGAGAGTCAAATGCGGAAGTCATAAGTGGTAGAGGATACTTATTCTTGACTGTGATTTTATTAAGGCTGCTAAAATCTATGCAGGGGCGAAGTGAACCATCTTTTTTTTTCACAAAGAAAAACCCTGCCCCAGCAGGTGAAGCAGATGGTCGGATGATGCCGGAACGTAATGAGTCTTGGATGTAATCCTTCATGGACTGCTGTTCCAGAGCGGAAAGGGAATACAAAGCTCCTCTTGGAGGAGTGGAGCAGATCTATTGCACAGTCATATGGACGGTGTGGAGGCAATGAAGTAGCCCTAGTTTTATTGAACACCTCCTTTAAATCATGGTTTTCTTTTGGAACTTTGGAAATGTCTGGATAATAACTCTCATTGTGGGTAATGGCTTCGATAGGTACCACAGCATCAAACAAACATGTGGTCAAACATTCTTCTGACCACCCCAAGATCTCCTTCCTCCTCCAGTCAAGATGTGGGTTGTGTTTGGCTAACCAAGTGGCTCCTAACACAATAGGAGCCTGGGGAGATTTTATAACCAAAAAAAGTAATGTTCTCTTTGTGGTTACCACCAAGACACAAAACCACCGATTCGGTCACCAACGAGGAGGAGTTCAGAGGATGGCCATCGAGAGCCACAACAGAGAGTTGATGAGATGATTTACAGAGTTTAATTCCAGCAGATCTAGCAAAATCATAGTCTATAAATTCAGTGTCAGCCCCAGAGTCAATAAGCACCTTAACTGTGGACCGGAACTTTTCTGGTGTAATGAGGTGAGCTGATACAATAAATGGTGAGGAGAGTTCTTTGGGACTGGCTCGACTCAGTAGACATCTCCTCTCATCTACTGAGCACCCCCCTTTTACCGGGCAGTTGGCGACAATGTGACCTGCCTCCCCACAGTAGAAGCAGAGATGTCCCTTGCGTCTCCTCTCGCATTCTGTCTGCGTGAGTCGGCTCCTACCCAACTGCATAGGTTCCTCTGCAGGCAGGGAAGAAGAAACAGGAGTAGAGTCAGCAGGTCATGGTGAGAACCGCAACTCACCAGCAGTTTTGGAAACTGGAGAAGTCTTGGGTCCTCGTTCACGTGCCAGTTCGGCCAGTCTTAAATCCACCCTGGTGGACAAGTCTTCAAGGTCCTGTAGAGAGTCAGGGTAACGTTTGGTTGCCAAACCATCTTTAATGTTATCATTCAGGCCTCTGTAGAAAGCGTCGGTGAGGGCCTCCTCATTCCAGTGGCTGCCAGACGCTATGGAGTGAAAATCGATGATGTAATCAGTTACTCTCCTGTTACTTAGTTTTATGGAGAATAACCATTTGGCAGCCTCTCGCTCTGGAAGGACCGGATCAAAGACCCTGCAGAGCTCTTTTGTGAAAGCCTGGAGAAAGTAGATATTAGGAGAGTCTCTTTGCCATTCAGCAGTTCCCCATTTCTTAGCTTTGCTGGAAAGTAGTGAAATAATATATTCCACTTTTGCCTTATCAGAGGGGAACGATGAGGGTTGTAATTCAAAGTGGATTTCGCATTGGGTAATGAAAGGATGACATTGGTCCGGTTCCCCTGTGAACAGTTCAGGTGGAGTCAGTCTAGGTTCTCTGACAGGCTCTGAGTGAGGTCTGATCACCACAGAATCCTGAGGGGACATCTGAGGGTTTAAGTTTTTGAGCATGCGGATCATGTCCTCCATGCCAGACTCTAATTTAACAATAGCTCCTTCTACCCTAGAGCGCCAATCTGCTAGTGGTGAGTGGTCCATATTGACCCGGTAGTTCTGTAACGAACCACATAACGGTTGGACCAAAATCACCACACAAAAAGTCAAAATTAAATTATATTTATTTTCAAGGTGAAGTGTAGCAGATTGGACCGGTTCTGGTACTGGTTCTGGTTTTGGGTTCTGGTTCTGGTTCAGGATCAGGAACGAGTCTATGAGACAGAGATCGGTTAGTGGTCGTGCAGGAGATGATGGAGAGCAAAAGTCAGAATGAGGAGGACCACTAACCGTCTCAGATGAGCTTGAAGGTTCTGGAGACTGACGAGGTCCAAACTGATCCGGATTTCTGCAGGAGAGGCTGAGTCCGGTGAGGGGCTGCAACCGGCCGCAGCAACAGGTGGGTGGTGAGTCTGTTGAGCGAAGAGACGTGGTCACACAAGCCAGGGTCCAAAACTGGAGAGCAGAAGACAGGAGGTACCGGAGGAGAAGACGAGGAGGCGTTGTCGTGCAGGCGAAGGTCAGAACCGAAAGCAGAAGACATAATAATCCAAAGGGTCGAGCGAGAGACGATGTCCAGGTGAGTCATGGGTCCATGAGCTGCGAGGTCAAGCCAAGAGGGGAGAACAAGAACCAGGAGCAGGACAGGAACAAGGAGACAGGTAAACTATAACAAGGGGACACAAAGGCTCTGGGGAAACAATGCAGGATCATAAACGCGAGGTATTTACTTGCAGTGAACTGTTTTCAACTACCGGGCACCGAAGAGGAGAAAGAGTGCAGCTTTTAAAGGGTGAGAGAGACAGGTGCAGCCAGTTGAGTTCAATCAGCTGCTGCTGGCTGCAGTGAAGACAAAACTAAACAACCATGACATCACCCTCAACCAGCATGCAAAGAAGACAAACTAAAACCCACGTACATAAAACATTACCAGAGCGGACAGAATAAATGAAACTCACAGAAAAGATCTATAGCAAACTTTAAAGAGTGATCAGGGTGACAGAAAATATAATCTATGGAACGTGATTTGTGACAGGACATGTTTGAGGATAGCAGGTCACATTATACCATTACAGGATGTGTATGAGGACAACAGGACACCTTAGACTGGTTCAGGATGTGTATGAGAACAGCAGGACATCTTAGACTGGTACAGGATGTGTATGAGAACAGCAGGACACCTTAGACTGGTACAGGATGTGTATGAGGACAGCAGGACACCTTAGACTGGTACAGGATGTGTATGAGGACAGCAGGACATCTTAGACTGGTACAGGATCTGTATGTGGACAGCAGGACACCGTAGACTGGTACAGGACATGTTTGAGGATAGCAGGTCACATTATACCATTACAGGATGTGTATGAGGACAGCAGGACACATTAGACTGGTACAGATTGTGTATGAGGACAGCAGGACAGTGGTGAGTTGTCCTATAGCGTCAAGGTAGACGTGGGACTGCATCAAGGATCGGCTCTGATCCTTCTTGTTTGCTCTGGTGATGGACAGACTAACAGATGAGGTCAGGCAGGACTCCCCGTAGAGGTAGAAGGAGTGAGGACAGAAGACGCAGCTCACAGAAACTGTCAGCACAGTGGTGGAAGACTGATGATGTGGGCTTGTTGTACAGCTACAAGCTGCTAACAGTGCACACTGCAATAACTGAGTCAACTCTTCTTTATTTTAGGATATTCTAAAGTCAAATGTAAAACCATCTGAACCTGTCAGTCAAGTGGCCTTGATAGCAATTTATAAAATACAGTTGACGTAAACGGTTGTTACGTTTTTGAGATTGGAATAGTTTTACGACAGCAGTAATTCACTTCTGTCTTCGCCTCACTCCAACTAGCCATTGGCTTGTCATTCCAACTCTGTTTCTCCAATCTGAGGTTGCTCAAATAGCAACCTAAAACATAAGATAATAACTGTTCAGAACCTTTCCACAGAAAGGTTTTGTAGTCATATCTGTTTGATGTTTTCTCCCTCAGTCAAAAAGGCATGGGATGGGTGTCCATGATGGCACGTATTGGATCTATGTTGGCCCCCATGGTTCTCATCATTGGGGACTACGAACCCTGGCTGCCGAGTTTGATCTATGGAGGAGCTCCAATCCTTTCCGGGGTGGTGGCTATCTTTCTACCAGAGACCCTTGGCAAACATCTTCCTGACACGATTCAAGACGTGGAGGAGAGGTGAGATCAACCTCTGTGTGTCTTCAGAAATCATAACAGCTGTTTTGGTGACAGAAGATCTTCTGCTGTGAATGGTAAAATAATAAAAAAGGAAACTATACTGTTTTTATGGTTTCATTGAGACACTGCAGAAGGATGGAGAATAACATGGATCAATCTTCTTGCCTGTTTTTTGTTTTGAACACAGAGGAACTGGAAAAAGCTTCAAGGTGTCGATGAAGAAAGTGATGATCCTTCAAGAAACTCAGAAAGTGATGATCCATGAAGAAACTCAGTTGACTCTCCTCAAACAGGAGACCAAGGAGGATCAACCAACTTGCTGAACCAAACGGCGAGTTCATGCAGATCATTTTTAAAACAAAATACTGGAAGATTCATTAAAGTTTTGTTTAACTTGATTAAAAAACTGTGATCTGAATCAGTGATTTCATTCTTTGACCCTCTTCATAACTTTATGATGCTTGTAAACTTAACTGTTGCTGTTTTTTGTATGAATAAACTTAATAAACAAGCGGTGCTCTGATGTCCCCCGTCTTTGAGGGGTTTGAAAAGTGAACGTTTGTAGTTTTGGAGATGAGTGTTTTTCTGGACTGGAACTGAACAGAGAATGAAAGTAGTCCCTCACTTATCGCGGGGGTTACGTTCCAGACAGCCCCGCAATGAGTGAAAATCTGCAAAGTAGGGTTGTTATATTTATTTTAGTATTTGTATATATTTTAAGGCTTTATAAACCCTTCCCACACTTCTTAAAAGGTACAGAACATTTGGGTGGCATCGTAGGGCTTGAAATAAATCCAGTCTCTTACGAAAAATTCACAAAAGAGCACAGCAAAAGAGAGCAGACAGACTGATGCAACAGTTACTGAGACAATCAGCGCCCGGGATACAGAGTACAATGCTCTGGTTGGTCGCCTTCCATCGTGTGTCGTGTACAATCAAGGGCGTCAGAAGCATCCGTAATGTGGGGGGTACACAACGATGTGTGTAGGTGTGTGTGCGCGCGTGCGTGTGCACAAAAGAAATGTGCACTAATGTACAAAAAAAGCAACATTTCACCTAAATTTGCTTTAATTCCACACATTTAAAGCATATTTCTCACCAAGTTTGTGTAAATTCAGCTGTGGGTTTTAGAGACATTTTAACTTTAATACATTTTAATACAGAGCGTCAGATCTGCACTATTTGTGTTTATAGAGAAATAAAAAACATCACCACTAGACATTTTTACTTGTGTTCAACACTACTCATCTAAATTATGTTTCTCACGAAGCTTGAGGACAATAAGGTGTGGGGTTTTAAAGACATTTCAACTTTAATGCACCTGAACACACAGCGTCTCTTACACCTGCAGCGTCTGACAGCGTCACAGTTACTGCTAAGAGAACATACTACAGACGTAGCGCTGCACTCAAGCATCCTCCTAACATGAATATATGTTGATGATCAACCCCCTGGTCAACCACTGCCCGCACTAAGCTGCTAAACTGGTGAGTGAGCAACACAGAGGTGTCTCCATCTCCTGCACCTGTGCGCGATTTCTAGCGAAGCAGGAGACTCAGCAGCGGCTGCCTGCACAGTTTCTGCTCTGTGTGTAGAGGTGGAGGTAACCTGGAAAACCTGGAGTGGAGTTTTATTAGATTGAGTACTCTCCTATTAATCAAGTGAAATGGATTTGTTCACAAAGAAAGAGAAACTGCACCGCCTGAACTAATGTTTCATAGTAAAGGTGAGGGGGTTCAAATGAACGTTTTTTAATGTGGGGGGGACTTGTCCCCTTCACATATAATGGTTGCGACGCCTATGTGTACAATCTTACGTTGAAAACCCACAAAACAGTGAGTCTGCAAAAGTTGAAACACAAAGTAGTGAGGGACTACTGTAAACCTTAATGTTTTTCATGCATTAAAGTGGGGAGGAGTTATACTGTGGAGAAGAACAGCAAACATAATAACAAGAAAATACAATAAAATAAGAATACAATAATAATAATAATAATATTGAAATGATCAATGTAAACATGAATGTGATATTTAACCTTCATTATTTTAGACCAGCTACAATTTCTGTATGGATGTTTGAATTTACAGGTTGCAACTGAATGCATCAACAAATCGTCACATGGTCAAAATAAAAATAAAGATTAAAGATTTTTTTAAATGCATGCGGGTCTTCCCGAAGGCTTAAAGTCCTGTGTTTTGGTCCCACCCACTCTACATCAGCATTCTGATTGGTTAATTTTCCTTTCACTCATTAAACAAATTTCTCTTTCAGAGCATCTGACTGAGCTCTCCTGACAGTGAAGTCCTGACCAATGAGAAACAACCTTCAAACATCTAACAAGATTGAGTGAAGTCCTCTGGACAAATGCTTCTTCAGAGGAACTGACTTTTTTAATTTATTTACCTGGATTATTGAGCATGCATCAGAATAACCTTCAAACATGTTTCTGCCCGGAGACAAAATCTTAAAAGAATCTGATTGGATAACAGGATTTTCCTGGATTAAAAAAAAAAATCTTGCTCATTTGCAAAGTAGTTTATAGAAAACAGGAGAAATTAGCGCAAAATAAGAATATATTATATATACTACATTCTTACACACATACACACATACACACACACACACATATATATATATATATATATATATATATATATGTTTATATATAAGTACCTGTAGCGTTCCCTCAATGCGGACTGTAACCTGTAACCTGGATGACCTTGCAACAAGATCTCAAGTTGTCCAATTTGATTGTTTTAAGGGATTTTAAGCATTTGATAAAGTCAATACAAACATCAAAGCAAATATGTTCTTGTTTTTATTATTTTACCTTGTTTTGTATGGCACCTTGATTTGACTGTTTTTACAACACAACATTTATTTTATTTTTAATTCATTTTTGTTGAATATTGTTGTCTGTACTCTGTATGTTGTCCATCTAAAACAGGTCTGTTTCGAAAATGAGTAAGAGACTAACCTGTATAAATAAAGGTTTAATACATACATATATATATATATATATATA